TGCTTTTTTCTTAGTTTTGCTTATGTTCCACAGAGGGACAGAATTTGCTCACTCCTGTTCTATTATTAGAATATCTTTGTGGAAAAGACTTGGGGCAATTGATGATAAATGCTCATTCAAGTTAAATAGAATAGCAATTAGAATATTTTTTAGTCATTTAGTGCATTATGCAATATAATTGTATAATGTTAAAAATCACATTTATATGGTTAGGCTCTCCTTTGCTTGATGGTATTTGAATAATAAAAAATGAGTGGAATAGAACTAATTGCAATTTTTCCTGTGCTATCTGAACACATTTTATACATATATATACGTGTATATATACACACACACTTATTCCTTCTCATATATTCTATATGTATGTTCACTGCATATATGTGTTCCCTTTAAGTTATTGGAAGGATGGCTAACTGCTTATGAAGAAGGGAAATTTTAGGAGATACTTGACTACTTCCATTTGAAAGATTGAATATATAAATGTTCTTTGCTCACATGTATGACATTCCTGGCAATAGCCTATGTAAACAAGGAAAGTCCATGTACTCATTTATAGAATGAAATTGTACTATTTTGTAACAAGATTTGTGGAATAAATTTAAACTATTGATGAAATATAACAGGATGCACATTCCCTACTGAAAATGGGCAGCTTTTAAAAACTTAGGTTTCTTATATGTGTATTTGTTTGAATTAATAATATGACACTTCAGTTCAGTTCAGTTCAGTCACTCAGTCCTGTCCAACTCTTTGCGACCCCATGGACTGCAGCATGCCAGACTTCCCTGTCTGTCCATCACCAACTCTCAGAGCCTAATCAAACTTATGTCCATCACACTGGTGATGCCATCGAACCATCTCATCCTCTGTCATCCCCTTCTCCTCCTGCCTGCAATCTTTCCCAGCATCAGGGTATTTTCCAATAAGTCAGTTCTTCATATCAGGTGGCCAAAGTATTGGAGTTTCAGCTTTAGCATCAGTCCTTCCAATGAATACTCAGGACTGATTTCCTTTAGGATAGACTGGTTGGATCTCCTTGCAGTCCAAGGGAATCTCAAGAGTCTTCTCCAACACCACAGTTAGAAAGCATCAATTCTTCAGCACTCAGCTTTCTTTATAGTCCAACTCTCACATCCATACATGAGTACTGGAAAAACCATAACTTTGACTAGATGGATCTTTGTTGGCAACGTAATATCTCTGCTTTCTAATATGCTGTCTAGATTGGTCATAGCTTTTCTTCCAGGGAGTAAGCATCTTTTAATTTCATGGCTGCAGTCACCATCTGCGGTGGTTTTGTGTTTCCATTGTTTCCCAATCTATTTGCCATGAAGTAATGGGACCGGGGAGAAGGCAATGGCACCCCACTCCAGTACTCTTGCCTGGAAAATCCCGTGGATGGAGGAGCATGGTAGGCCACAGTCCATGGGGTCGCAAAGAGTCGGACACGACTGAGCGACTTCACCTTTACTTTTCACTTTCATGCATTGGAGGAGGAAATGGTAACCCACTCCAGTGTTCTTGCCTGGAGAATCCCAGGGACGGTGGAGCCTGGTGGGTTGCCCTCTACGGGATCGCACAGAGTCGGACACGACTGAAGCGACTTAGCAGCAGCAGCAGCAATGGGACCAGATGTCCTCATCTTAGTTTCTGAATGTTGAGCTTTAAGGCAACTTTTTCACTCTCCTCTTTGACTTTCATCAAGAGGCTCTTGTTAGTTCTTCTTCACTTTCTGCCATAAGTGTGGGGTCATCTGCATCTCTGAGGTTATTGATATTTCTCCCAGCAATCTTGTTTCCAGCTTGTGCTTCATCCAGCCCAGCATTTCACATGATGTGCTCCACATATAAGTTAAATAAGCAGGGTACTGGGATAGAAGGTTGTGAAACTTTTACACCACAGATTCTCTTCTTTGAGTGAAATCTGTGATCTCCAGTATATAAAACATTTTTCTAAAATGCCATCACTTTAGAGCAATTTATTTTTTCAAGTCATATTGCTACTTTTATAACAAAGAAATGAGAATAGGAATATAACCAATGATATTTTCTAATATACAAAAATTATTATTTGTAACATGTTAAAGTGTGCCTGATACTAAAATGTAAAAGACATTTCAGAAGAGATATTCCAATCACACTGTTTAGGGCTTCTGAAACAATGTCTTCAGTTTACAACTCATTAGGTAGGAGGTTATTTAGGTACCCTCAACAAGAGATGAAAACTGAACAGTCAAAATGTCTTCACACTCTGTATAAAACCTATCAGTGATGGTCCATCACCCATAGGCAAAATTCCAAACTCTTTCTCAGGACTGATGAAGCACTCTGTGATCTAGCACAACCCACCCCATCTGTAACCAACCTTCTTTACTTGCCAATCCTTACCAGTTCGAAAACTGAGTTCTTTGAATACTTTATATTTTCCCTTCCTCTGGGCCCACTCATGTGCTGCTTAGAATATCTCCATTTCTGATGGTCAGCATAGCCCTGCCCAACCCCCATAGTGGTTTCAACCTCCCTGATCTATTCCTTTAATACTTGGTATTTTTGATCATTTCCTTCTTATCAGCCTGCCCCACTAGATTGTATGCTCTATAAAAAGATCCAGTTACCTGACAGATGATGGTCAAACAAAAGGATGATAAATTCAGGAGTTTTACATAGACTTTATTGTTTAGATCTGTTTTAGTTTAGCAGCAAAACTGAGCAAAAAAATACGTAATTTTCCAATCCCCTGTGTCCCCATACATTCACAGCCTTTGCCAGTATCAACATCTCCTTCCAAAGTGGTACATTTGGTAAACTGATAAAACTATATTTCCATATAACTGTCACCCAACAGTCATGGTTTACATTACAGTTCACTCTTGGTGTTGTACATTCTGTGTGCAGATGTACAAAGAACAGTTGGATGAAGGTATAACAGCACGTATACCACCATTGCATAATCGTGCAGCATAGATTCACTGTTGTAAAAATCCTCTGTGCCCAGTTTGTTCATCCCTGCCTCCCCTTGACCTCTGGCAACCACTGATCTTTTCACTGTGTTCATAGTTTTGCTTTTTCTAAAATATCATATAGTTGGAATCATAAAGTATATAGTCTTTTCAGATTTACTTCTTTCACTTGATAATATGCATTTAAGTTTCTTCTATGTCTTACTGTGCATGGCTTGATAGTACATTTCTTTTTAGCACTGAATAATATTCCACTATCTGGATATGCCATGAGTTATGTATTCTTCACCTATTGCTAGAAATCTCTGTTGCTTCCAGGTTTTAAGCAATTATAAATAAAGCATCCATGTATAGTTTCTTGAGAAATACATTTTCAAACAGGATAAGTAGAAAGACATTCAAGTAAAGCTCTTCAGAAATCATCTGGACGTTTACAAGTTACTGGTTTGTAAGGGCTTTCAAGACTAGATATATACATTTGTAATATTAATTCCACTTTTTTATTTTTTTAATGTAGATAATCTTGTATATGCTGGATACAGTAGTAGGTGCTGGAAATGCAAAGTTGAGAATTGCGATGTTCTTGAGTTAGGATCTCACAGAATAGTGGGGGAAAAGAGACACGAAACAAATAATTTCAGTATGATATGGAGATTGCACAGTATATGTATTATCAAGTTGTAATCAGTTCCTATGGTGGGGACAGAGAAGGCTCACAGAACTAAAGACATTTGAACTGAACCTTGAAGGAGAAGCAGGTGCTCACAGTCAGATGATTTGAGAATAGTCATATGCAGACCCAGAGATTTGAAAAAATTATCGACTAGGCTGGTGTTGGAAAATAATGGGAAATTAACCTAAAATAATAGGCTCATGAGATGGGGAAGTGTCTTTTAATCCCCACTAATGAGTTTGAACTTTTGTTACATTAGCAATATCACTGAATAATTTAAGCATAGGTGTGATGTGAATGAAGATTTTAGAAATATAATCCAATTACATACATGGAAGATAGAATAGAAGGGATGAAGGTGACACCCCAGGAACTAGGAAATCTAATGGACTGGTTCACATCAGAAGGAGACTGATTTATGATCACAGGACTAGAGGTGAAGTGTAGAATATAGATTTGGGACATATTTTAGAGGTTGACTTTACAGAACAGTTACATCTAATATTATTTTTATTAGATATAAGTATAAAATAAGATTTCTTATTTTATCTTTGAGTCTTCTTTTTAAAGTACATTGAGATCTATCTGATTTATGAAAATAATAGCACTATGGGTAAGGTGTAAACAAAAATGGTACTGATTTTGTGTCACAATTAAAACATTTTGGGTTGATTTTCCATTTTCCCCAGTCAGAATCCCTGAAACACAGTGTACTTAAAAATTGTTATTTTTCTTTTTAGTATATATTTTATAGGATTAGATTTCAACTTCTGTTTTATAGATTTTAGATATTGAGATACACAACATCAGCTTGTAATGAAAAAATTAAGAAAAGTAGGGTAGTTGAAAAGTTATTGAATGCATTTTGTAGCACAAAGTCTTAATGATTGACATGTCACATGGAATGGAAGGTTGGCATGGACCTAGACTAAGAGTAAATAAAATTATCAAACTTCTTAGATAAATATTGGCATATGCTTTTGGTGCAGCAGGATGAACAAGAGAAGAAAGTAGTTAAATCTCCAAGCACTGAGTTCATTAATTGCCCGCAATTTGGTTTTTTTCCATGTGAATACCTTTGTTGGGAAATTATTGCCTTTTGTAACTGTGCGGTAACAATTAGCTAATACAACCTTTTAAGAATAAATTGAGATTTTGAGATAACAGATGTACTTATGATTAGAAATTAAGATAATGTCTAATGATTTACTATAGGTGATTTGCTATAATAGTGCCAACAACTAGAAATCAGGCAGAAGTAAACTGAGAGAACATCTTAGATGTTCCTGTGGTTGCCACTCATTCCCAGTGTATAACTGTGTGTATGCCTATGTATAAATGCATTTTGTTTTCTTCATTTAATTTCAGCTACGACAGTGATAGCTGGTGCCCACCATTACCAGTTCAAACTTATTTACACCAGGGTATGGAAGATGAACTGGAAGAAGATGATGATCGTGTCCCAACACCTCCTGTCCGAGGCGTGGCTTCTTCTCCTGCTATTTCCTTTGGACAGCAGTCCACGGCAACTCTGACTCCCTCCCCACGGGAAGAGATGCAGCCCATGCTGCAAGCTCACCTGGATGAGTTGACAAGGGCCTATCAGTTCGATATAGCAAAGCAAACATGGTAATTGTCCTTATTAGTTCAGGGGACCCATGCTTTCAGCACCCAGGTAGGGGAAAAGTTCTTGAACATTACATTCACTAGAGAGTCTCATTGAAATCTGCAGCTGGAGTTAGAAATGCTTTGGTATAACTCCATAATCATCTCAATAAGGAAATTGACTGAATAAATGTTAAATAATTTGACCAAAGTCACACGACTGATTAGAGTGAACTGGAACAAAAATTCAGGATCTGCTGAATTTCAGGCTCAAGTGCTTTTGGCTACGCCAGAGTCTTTTCTAATGTACAGTTAGCTTCAATTAGCTTCTTCTTGAACTCACTTCCAGCATCATAATGAAGGACTCTTTTTAGAGTCTTCAAAGTGCCTATGATTAATTCTGTATGTGGTTGTGAATATGTAAACGTAAGCTTCTGCAAATCACATATGGTCAGTGTCAGTTATTAAAAGACCTTTTCTGGGTTGAATTAAATGAGACAGAAAAAAGCAACAGTATTAGTACAGTAAATGCATCCCTAGAAAGCCCTTAGAATACACTGTGTGTATCTGTTCAGTTATTCAGTCATGTCCGACTCTTTGCGGCCCCATAGACTGTAGCCCACCGGGCTCTTCTGTCCATGGAATTTTCCAGACAAGAGTGGAGTGGGTTGCCTTTTCCTACTCCAGAAGATCTTCCCAACCCAGAGATGGAACCCGTGTCTCTTCTATCTCCTGCATTGGCAGGCAGATTCTTTATCACTTGCTCCACCTAGGAAGCCCTTAGAGTAATAATACCTTACAAATACAAATTCCCTGTTTTCCTAATAGATTCGTAAACTTTCATAAGATATAGATGACTGTCTACTTAGGTATCCTATGAAAATACAAGAATAGTGAGATCGACTCTCACAATTTTGTACAATTATTTTTTCTTATTTACTCTCCCTTTTCCCAAATAGTAACATATGAGTTTGACTCTTGAAAATGAAATCTCAGTGACATCTGATTATCTCAGTGACATACCTCTGATTATGTGCAGACTCACTGATTTATGTCCTGTGTTTGAAGTTAAATTTTTACAAAATACCATTAGCTTCTTTTTCAATAAGTTTAGTTACTGAGATAAGATAATAATGAGATAAATCTTATTCTCAGTGTTAACTATTTATTTCTAAATATATAACTAAATATACAAAGAGATACTAAAACCTGAAATATCACTTAAAGCTTATTACAAGCATAAGTTCTTAGAACCAGAGGTTCTTGAACATTTTCTCAATCACCAGATATTTTTCAAAGGTCAAAGACAATTTGCTCTTAAAAAGTATTATTTTTCATCAGCCTGCTTTATAAAACACTGTTAAAGCTGAAGCCAGCTGTTTTAAGAGCCAAAGAATTTCCTTCAAGTTAATTAAATGAAACCCTGAAGCTTAATCATTTAAAGCACAGATTCTAGCTCAGGAATTGTCAACTCTGCCTGCATTTTGGAATCATCTGGAAAACCTGGATATATATTCCCCACCCCTAGATATTCTGATTGCTTGGTCTGGCATTTGACTAGGGTCAGCCAAGGTTGGATCATGGCCACTCCTTACTAGCTGTGTGACAACAGGCAAGTTGCCTAACACTTCTGTGCTTCAGTCCTCCATTTGTAAGTGACAATGATAATTCATAATAACTGACTTATCCACAAACTGAGAGAGGGGTCCCTCCAAGACCACCCTCACTTCTGACATTATTTACAAGTTTGGAGAGTCCCCAAGATTACCCCCAGCTTTAAGAATCCACTAGCAGGAGCCACAGAACTCACTGAAAACTATAATTTTCAAAGTTATAGTTTATTATAATGAAAAGATATAAATTAAAATCAGCCAAGAGAAGAAATGCATGTGGGAGAAAGCTAGGAAATTCCAAAGTTGGGTTGGTCCTTTTGGTCCTTTCCCAGTTTAGTCCTGGAAAGCATAATGTCCTAGCAACCCCGAGTGCCAATATGGGTGAAGTATTGTCAACCAGGGACGTTCACACGAGCCTTGAGTTTCAAAGTCTTTATTGGGGGTCTGTCTCCCAGATGTGGTTGACTGTCTGCATGGCTGACCCAATTTCTGACCCTTCCTGAAGGTGGATCTGATATTGTATGACTCCAAGTCCCCATCATAGGTCATATTGTTAGACTTTCTGGAAGAGCCTCCAGCCTCCAGGTAAACAAAGACATTTTATCAGACGGGACATTCTAGAGCTTAGAGATTACCTCTTAGGAGTTCAGGGCAGATGTTTCAGTTCTCTTTGGGCAAGGTCAAATTCTTTATTTCACATCTTAGTTTTGGGAAGAAGTAGTGAGTTTGTACTTGTATGTATAGTACTTAGTATCTAGCCACTTCATAGCTGTTACTGTTCAGAGGGCATGGGTTTTCACCTGAGTGGTTCACTCCTCAGCTGTCTAAGGTGTCTTTCCACTCTTAGTGAGTGCTCCATAGGCACGTGCTGAAGGAGTGAACAGTTCACCTCCACCTGTCCCAGGTACCCACAGAGCTGACTCTGCCTCTCTCTCTGAGTGTGCTTCCGTTCAGTCTAACCATGCCGCCGAACATCACACTGGCTCCCCACATCGGGCGTACAAGGATCTCATGGATAGAAGGTTCCATGTGCTCGCATAGAAGCTTACCCTACTGAAATGGCGGTGCCTCCATCTGGGCTGCACGGGGACATCATGGGAGGAATATTTCCAAATAGCAATTCTGGGCTTCCCCTCCAAGGATTCTGTTCATACTGACCCATGAAGTATACAACACACTTATAAATATTGCGTATCCTTAATTACAGTGGTCTTGAATGCTTTTTTTTTTTTTTTTTGCCCTGCCCCATGGCTTGCGGGATCTTAACTCCCTGACCAGGGATTGAAGTCGGACCCTCAGCAGTGAAAATGCTGAGTCCAAACTGCTGGGACAGCAGGGACTTGCCACTGGTGGTCTTTTAAGCAATTTGTATCAAAGCCAAAAAAAAAAAAAGTTGTCTAAACATATGCCATATTCCCTCTTTAATGACAGTAACAAATAACAGGCCTGCTTTCCTTCAGCATTTTATGTCTTAGAAAAAAACTCCTAAGTAGTCACAAAACAAGCCAACTGGACTGTAGGGTCCAGCTGTGCATTTTGTTAGCCATGTCCATTGAAACTTAAGTCACTTAAATTTGAACTTCACTTTTCTAAATTCTGAGGGAAAGATGGTAATACAAATTCTGTCTACTTCACAAGGTTAGGATTAGAGTTACCCACTCGTTGCAGCTGGTTCGTTTGGCACACCTGATGTTTTAAATGCACAGTGCTAAGGTGCCTTCTGCCTTTGAGGTATTTAAGACTTTGATGGGGCTTCCCAGGTGGCACTAGTGGTAAAGAACCTGCCTGCCAATGCAGGAGACATAAAAGATGTGGGTTCAATCCCTGGGTTGGGAAGATCCCCTGGGGGAGGGCATGACAACCCACTCTAGTATTCTTGCCTGGAGAATCCCATGGACAGAGGAGCCTGGCCGGCTACAGTCCATGGGGATGCGTAGAGTCGGTTCCCACTGAGGCGACTTAACTACAGCCACAGGGTAAAACAGATGCAAAAATAAGTAGCCAGGATACAAAGTAGCCATGCCTCCCCTACACTGGATTGAAGTGGAGACAACTGCCAGCTTGATTCCTGGACGATCATGCAGAAGAAAGCCTGGTAGAGCAGGGAATGGGCGGGTTGGAGGGAAAGGGTGTTCGCATTAGGTTTTCCTGTGATGTCTTTTCTTCATAAGGGTCAGCAGGTGACATGGGTTACACAGGCTTAGTAGAACTTCTACAGGAAACCGGGAACATAATTATGTTCTTTTTGGACCAAAACAAAACAAAAAAACTCAGATTTAAATAGATATTTGTGATGAATATTCCTGTTCTCCTTTGTGTGATTTATTTGAACAAAAAATGCTGGGACTGTGCTTTTTCTCTGTGTATCATCCCATAAATACCCAGAGAAGAATGTGCTGATCTGTATTGTTTGTTATAGTTTTGGCAAGTCATATATGCACAGCCCATTGTCTCTGCTGAAATGTAGAAACAGCACAGTAAGTTCCAAAATTAGTTAAAGGAAAGTGAGAAGACAAAATGAGTTACCATCGCATGCTGTTTAGTTCTAATTACAATTTTGTGGAATGCTAATCCATTCTTCCTTTTTATTCTTCCCGTTTGAATCCCAGGCATGTTCAAAGCAATAATCAACCTCCGCAGCCCCCAGTTCCACCATTAGGTTACATGTCTGGAGCCTTGATTTCCGATTTAGAAACGGATGTTCCAGACGATGATGCTGATGATGAAGAGGAAGCTTTAGAAATCCCCAGACCCCTGCGAGCGCTAGAGCAGACACCTGGATCCAGTACGGACAATCTAGAGAGCTCTGTGACAGGTAACGGAACTGATTGCATAGGAATAACTGACCCATTTGTCACATGAAAAATGCCTCGAAAATCAAATACTTTCTTATGTAAGATTTATTCCACTCCATCTATTTTGGTGACATTTTTAATATGTTAATATTAAACACAGAATTCAAAAAGGATTTGGAAATACTTTTGCTTTGCTGCAAAATGATAAGAAAATTCATGAATTTTAAAAAGCTTTAAGACATGAAAGAAAACTCAATTATATACAGGGCTTTCATGAAAAGTTCATTCTACTGGGGAACCAAGTCTATTACATAAAAACCTTGACTTTTAGAAATGATATATTTTGTATATCAGGAGCAACGTATGAAGAGAATACAATCTTAAAACGCTTCTTAGTATTTCTCTCTGTAAAATCATGCACTGATGAGAATAAGCAAGTCTTCAGAATAAGCCTCTTTAAGTTTGCACAAGGTATTATTTTTAGAGTGGGGAGATGGAAAGCAAGATAAACTATAAATTTATGCATTTCATATTGTTGATCCAGTAATTGCTGCTCTCCCAAGAAATACAGTTATTTCTACAGTTTACCCTTTTGCCTTCCCCTGGCCTCCTTCACCAAGTGTAAGGCTGCAATTGGTATTCCCCTAGGATGATCCCAGGATTGCATCCTATTTCCAAGGATGTAAATTTATCAAATTGTATTGAAAAAAACCTTAAATCCAAGTGTTTTCACAGTGACTGTAGAGAAAAGTAAAAGTTTGGTCCTTTCAGTCAAGTAAATATCCATTCTTTGATACACACACACAGGTGCCTTTTACCTGGCTATAAAGACGTACCTGCTACAAATGTTTGCTTCTGTTTATCATTGGGTTCTTCAGTAAACCTACCCATTTCTGTATTTACCTTCATGACACCCTTCATTCCAGGAGACCTTTTACCACAGTTCCATTTAATTTATTTTTACTCCAACAGCTTAATTTGCACTGCACGTTACAGTTCAGAAAAACTGGCGGGAACTACTTTATGACAGTGATGAAGAAGCTTGAGTACCTACATGTTTCCCCTGCATGCCTTCCTGAATTACACAATGTAATGCACAAGCCTCCACCTTTCAGGTTTTCTTTTTTACCTGGGGGCTGTCTGCTTGCCGAGCTAATTAAGATTTAAGAACTCCTGTGATTTGAAATCCAGATCCAACTGAAGGTGGCAGAGCAAAAGTTTAAATTGTTGAATGCAGAGAGCTAACTTATTAGTGCAATATTATGCTAAGCCCCTTTGCCTGAATTTCTAGCATAATCTCCTTCAGGGTAAAATTCTGCATATTTTTGCATATCTCACTAATGATACTGAACTCTTCTCAGTTAAGAATGCAGTAAAAAAACTGCAATGATAAGAGTCAGCCATAGCCTATGTAGTTCTTTTATTAAATATTGTAATGTCGAAGTGGATAAATATATCTATAAATCAGGAGAATGTCATTTTGAACTTTTACATGCTCACTTACTAATATGTTGCGCTATCCAATGTGACTGTGGTTAAAAACAATCTGAATTTCTCCTTGAAGCTAGTATAACGTTCATTTCAAATGAAGCTTTTATTGCTTAGAGAAACTTTTATTTTGCTACTTGAAGTCACTGTTTAATTACTGCCACATATAAAACCCTCGGTGTTTTTAAATATGTATTCATGATAAATTTATCCTATGAATAATGTTTCTCCTTAGTAAAAGAAGTTGAACTCTACACCAAAGAAGACAAGTAGAAACTCTTTCTTTCTTTTTTTTTTGGCTTTACAATAACTTTGTGGGGAAGCTATGATCAAAGATTTAATCTACTCTAACATGAAAGTGTAACTTAAGTAAATATGTTAAAAATAAAAGTAAATTAAAAAAATGATGTGTGTGTACAGAAGAGTGTGTGTGTGTCTGAAAATCTAGATAGGGTTTGTGAATGTGTGTAAAGTGTGTGTGTGTGTCTACATAGGAGTGTGTATATGAGCATAACTAGGATTGTGAGTATAGCAGAGAGTGTGTGCACACATATATTTGTACTTGGGGATGGTCCTGAGATGAATGTGTGTACGGACCAAATGCTATAGAAATCAGCATGCTAATGACTATTGCTCTAACGTGTTTATGTTTTCTTCAGACACTCAAGGCTAGCTTAATGGTGCTAAATGAGGTGGGCAATAAAACAGGAACTATTTCCATTGGGTTTTTATGTTTTTAAGATGGTAAGTGCCCACAGAGAGGATTTTGATTTTACCGTCAGTCACGTTGAGTTCTAAGTTTCTGTGTAGTGTGAGTAAATCATTTCTTTCATCTGAATTCTTTATTTTAATTTTCATAAACATAATGACCATTTTTTATGAACTAGAACTAACAGTTATGTTCCAATCTTTAAATGTTAAAGCCAACAGAAATGAAAGTCCAGTGATAGCAGAGAGATGGGCTAGTAATTAGCCTCTATGTAAAATTATTTAGAATTTTGCTTCTGAAATATGTTATATTCCAACAGCTGCCACATGAAGGAGCATCAGTGGTTAGCCAGGCACAAAGCCTATGTTTGTAAAGAAATAAGTATGTTATTTTCAGATATTTTCTTAACAACTAATTTATGAGGGACTTTAAAGAGTTTGAAATAATGGTTCATGAATGGAAAAAGTCAAGAAGAGAGGAAAATATCAGTAATTCTATAGCTCATAATTTTGGTGTCTTAGTCTAACAAAATATCATAGACTAGATGACTTAAACAGCAAATATTGGGAAGTCCAAGATCAAGAATCAGGCAGACTGGGTTTCTGGCGCAAGCCCTCTTCCTACAGGAAGCCATCTTCTCACTATGTCCTCACACGGCAGGAGAGCTTGCTAAGGTCCCTGTCACACCATAATGACCTCACCCTCAGGACCTCATCTAGACTTAAGCATCTCCTGAAGTCTCTACCTCAAAATACCATAACATTATGGGTTAAAGCTTCAACATGAATTTTAGGGGAATGTTATCCTTCAGTTCATAATACTCAGGAATGGAAAATATATTCTAAAATCTGTTGTTTATTTATTTCCACAGCAAATATTTATTGAAAATCTATTTCTTCCAACTGCTTGGCTAGAAATTTAGGTTTGATAATAATAGTAATAATAGCAACTTGCACATGTACAGCACTTAGTATATGCAAAACACGCTTCTAAACAGTTGGCTGTTTTTGTTATGAGTGGCTTTGTGAGCTAAGAAACTTTCTTATGTTTTTTAAGGTTTTAAGTAAACAAGAAAAAAAAAAACATATGAGGAAGACAGCAAAGCCTGAAATATTTAGTATCTAGGACATGACTGAGAGCCTAATACTTGACTTGAGCACCTTATAGAAACACTTCCCAGGTGGCGCTAGTGGTAAAGAACCTGCCTGCCAATGCAGGAGATGTAAAAGACATGGGTTCGATCCCTGGGTCAGGAAGATGCCCTGGAGGAAGGCATGGCAATCCACTCAGTATTCTTGCCTGGAGAATCCCATGGACAAAGGAGCCTGGCCGGCTACAGTCCATAAGGTTGTGCAGAGTCAGACATGACTGAAGCGACTCAGCATGCACACACACCTTATAGGAAAAGTTCACTGATCCCTGTTCCAAGGTTTTAACATATATTAACTCATTTAATTGTTACAATTCTTCATTTATTCTCACTTTATAGATAAGGAAATTGAGGCACAGAGGGGTTTAAAGACTTTTTTAAGCTCACCCACCTGATAAATGGCAGAAAAATATTCAAAATCAATCAGCTTTACTCTAAAGACAAATTATCATGATCTCTCCTATGAAAATGCTCAACTTTTTTCCTAATCTTTGGATTTGGCATATTTAAGAGGAAAGTGATTTCCTGGTTTCCTCTCTCCCTTTCTGTGCATGTATACATATATGAATAAATATATATTTATGCAAATACAGCATATTAGTTTATCTCTGGAAACAATTTTTACCCCCTATAAACTTAAGATAAAAAATTATCATTTTTAGATGTAACTTTTATTATTTTTTTTCTCACATTTAATTCTATATTCAGTTATACTGACTCATACTAACAAAATTCAACTCTATCACCACTTTTTGTAGGAAATCCCATTTTTATTCTTTTCTTTTAACTTATACACTCAGTTTAAACCTACTTGGTTTTAGTAAAGTAGAAAAATGTTTTGATTACAGCACATCACACTCTTTTTTTGCCTAGAAAGTAAAGATACAGGATGGTTTCAGTCTTCAGGAATATGCTTGTACTATTTCTGTCTAAATGCCAAACCCACCGCTTTGGGGTAACAGGACAGGAGAAGCCTTTAATACATATTTTTTTTTTACTTCCATGGTGGGAGTCAAGGGTGAGTGTTCCCTGTATTTAATGACTCTACCACAGGAATAAAGAAAAAGAAGACAATAAAAGAGAGGGCAGGAGAAAAATGTCCTGAATGTGAAGCCAAGATTCTAACTGCTTCAGTGATCACAGAAATAAGAGTGAGAATGAGTACTATGACGTGAATTGAATAAAACTTTCCTTAACTGCTGGACCCCACATAAATAATGTGGTCGAAAGGAAATCAGGGCTCTACAGTTACTGTATTTTATGTCATTGGAGATTTTTGCTGCAAGTCTCAAAGCAGATTATTTGGAAAACAATAAACCTGGCAGCCCCACCACCTTACTCAACCACACAGCTTTTAAAGAACTGGCTGCTTAAAAGCATGACCTGATTCTTTGCTTTTGTTGCGAAAACTTAAGGGACGTATTTTCACAATAGGGAAATTTCAGAGGTAATGCTAAAAATCATTAAATACCTTTCTTAGACATTCTCCACAGCTCTGATGTATTTTAAAAGAAATTAAATACAGACTTCAAAAGTTAACAGATAAAAGCGGAATATCATATATTCCGCTTTTATCTGTCGATCAAATGAGCAGATGTCATAGGTCCCAAGGAAGAGATTTTTTTAATTTCTTATATTGCTTTCTGTCTATATTACACATTCCTTTCTCTGAG